CTATGCCCCGCTGGTAGGTGTGTGTGTGTCTCACTCACTCTCTCACTTTCTAGTAAATGCATGTATGCATGTGTCCTCAGCCCCCCCCCCGAAAAAAAAAAAAGAGAGAGAGAGGAGAATCACATCTACGTAAATATACCCATAAGCCAAAAATATCCATGTACAGGGAAAAAAATGCTGAAAAGAAATACACCTAATGTTAACAGAGGTTACGTTTGGACAAGAATAATTTTTTCCAACTTTGATCAATTTCCCAATTTTTCTGCTATTAGTGCATATACTTTGAAAATTAAAACAAACTTACAAACTCAGTATTTTAGAAAAGAATTGTAATAATCCAAATGAACCATGGTGGATGACAAGATAAACAAACTGGTATGTCCACACAATGGACTCCTACTTGGCTATAAAAAGGAACAAACTGTTGACAAAATTGACGACTGAGATGATACCCGAAGGCATTATGTTAAGGGAAAGAAGCCAGTCTCCAGAGGCTGTAGAAACTAGGAGTCCACTTGTACGACATTCTGGAAAAGACAAAATTACAGCTACAGAGAACAGTGATTGGAATTAGGTGTGGCAAAAAAATGGAACAGCATGAGAGGTTTTCAGGGTAATGGAACTGTTTGGATCTTGTAATTATGACTTCAAAAATCTAAAACCTGTACTAAAAAGCATTTTAAAAAGTATATACCATGTAAAAGATGACTCAAAGTCAATAGTGACCATTTAACTATTAGGTTGTCAGGAAAGCCATGACTTATTGTTCTATGCAAAAATGTGTCTTGACTTTTCTGATGACGCCAATATATAACATTATATACAGTTTATAAATTCTAGAGACCACTGCTCTAGGAAGCTTTGAGTGAAGTTGGCCTCATTTTCTTTTTAAATTCAAAAAAGAGAAATAATAAATAAGCACCTTCCTGAGGAATAAACTGAGAAGACAAAGCTGCTTCATATTAAGCAAAAGGCCTGTCTCAGATTTATTCCCATAAGTAATGGCTACTAGTCACAGTTGATATAAAATGTAGGATGAATATTATCTTCCAAATAAAACACTCTGCTCTCCCACTAAAGTATTAGGTCATCGGAAAAGTCACGATGTATTTTTCTATGCAAAAATGCATCATGACTTTAACCCTATTTCTTTATAATTCAGTGAGTCTCAACATAACAGATTATTTTTAATCTATAGATAATCTCTTTTAATTCTCAAGACAATCATGCAAGGTAGGTATTATTATCCCTATAAAACAAATGGAGAAACAAGAGCTCTGAACGACCAAATAACTTGCCAAAGTCAAGCTAACTGGCTAGAACTAATCATAAATAGTTATATACCTAATAAGTTACATAACCAGGAATTAACCAGGATGGTCTAACTCTAAAACCCATGCTCTTTCCACTGCACAGTGTACTCCAAAGGATTTCAATGGAAACAAACAATGTAAGTATAAAAGCAAACTTAAAATGTATGCTATATACATGCTTAATAGTCAAATATGTACATTCTTGAAATGTTTTTTGATATGATGAACAGATGTTTTAATTTTCTTAAGTTTTCATGATATTTAAGAACTCCATTTAAACAACTGGAATAAATTATTTTTGAAAGTTGGTGCAATTTCGAGCCATCAAGTCATGTGACTTACAGAAAGTATATTCTGCATTGAACAGACATGGAGAAATAACTGTTCTTGCCATTTGTCATCTGAATACATACTATGCTCGAAGCACTCCACCCTGGATAGCCCTAGACAGCAGGGGTCAGAGCCAGTACAGAGCTTGCACAGACCAGACTCTCCATAATTATTTTCTGAATAAACGGCTAAAGCCTGGAATAGAAGGTAAGCATGTACAAATGACTATTCAGCAAGGCCAGGAGCACACCGTGGACCCCAAGAGTCAGCGGAGATAAGACAGCAAGTCCTACTGCTTCCCTCTCGGTCATTTCCATCTTCAAGGATAAAGAAATCTAAAAGCTATAATCAAAGGTGTAATAAAGGTCAATATTAGAATCAAGCAGGCATAAAACTCTACTAAACAAACTACATGCAAAAACTAAAATGAGGGGCTTGATTCTAGTATAGGATTTCCCTCTCTCTATCACCCTGTCTCTCCCCACACTCCACCTTCTCCTGAAAGGGGAAAAAAAAAGAAATGCAACAAAACTAAATGATCCCTTTCCTACTACTGACTTGCTTCTGGGTCTCTTGACCATGTGGTACCCATTTGTTGGTGTCACATGCTTCCACTTGAACACACAGCACGTATTGAAACTACTTTGTAGTTCCACTTTCGCTGTGAGAGAACAGCCCGACGGTAACGCCGCCATTCAGAGAGCCTAGCAACAGAAACGGGAAACACTGTTTTGGGAGCCCTTGCCTTGGAATACTTCTTTCCTGATCTCCAAACTACATAAAACTTGCCTTTCTGATAAGTTTGAACATATGAATTAAAAAACTTAGAATTTTAAAAACAAATTGAGTTATTGTAGTGTTCAAAATAATGAAATTACCAAAAAATGCACTTTAAAACATTTACTTCATACAAGACAGGTTTCAGTATGTTTACAGCACACACATGCAATAATGAACTACATAGTTTCAGATTTAATTTTCTCAATATTTTTAAGAGAGGCCACTGATTCTTAGGGCTATCTATTAAAGCCACCATACTAATTAGATTAGTCTCATTACTTAAGCGGCTCCTCCCAACCCCACCACTGATTGGCTGGTTTTTCACATTTCCCAAGGGCTACCACTCCCTCTAGACTTGCTTCCTCACATCTTGCTAAAATACTCCCTCCACTGTAGCTAAATTGAATTAGAGGAGAAAAC